ATTACCGCAAGATTTTTTTTTTTATACGAATCCTCCGTTTTCCAGATTCACATGAGAACCGACTAATCTAGAATCGAGCCGGGTAGGATTATAAGGGCGGCAAAGCTCTCCCTCAAGAGTTTTAACACTGCCGTATTCTCAGGACTCGAACACGAGACTACTGGTTAAGTTGGAAGAGACCCAAGTCATCTCATCCAAGCGCTTTTAGATAATTACCGCAAGATTTCAATCAATAGTATTACTTTTATTCCTCTTCCCTAAGCTATTTTTTTACTATTTTCAAAATTTGACCCCATTACTTTCCCACAATTTTATTAATTAGTCCCTTTGGGGCTGTAATGGAATTAATTTACTGCCAATGTTAGTCTGAACCAAATTTATGTCATCTGGACCGTACGAGCAAATCGATAACATTAATGTAGCACAAAATTCAAATAAACATTTTTTTTTCCCACAAAAATGTAGTATAATAACAAAAATTAATTAAATAAACTATTAAATTCAATCTTAAAATTAGTTTTAAGTTGGTTGGTTGGTTGCTAAGTGGAATTTGTGATTTGTTTGGCAAGATTAATTGAAAATTAGGCCTGGGACTGGTTCGGTTCTTATCATTTTTTTTCAGGAATCGGAACAGGAACTGAACCAAAAAAACCGATTTGGTTAGCACATAAATAATTGCATGAGCCTAAAAAGAACCGAACGGGTTTATAACGGTTTGATTTTTTCGGTTATTCGAGTAACCGAATAATAAAAAATAACCGACAATAATCGGTTTTGAGGTAAGAATCGGATAATAAAATGCAACTCACGAACTAAAAATATTATGAAAAACCGAGAACCGAATTAAAAAATGAATAACCGAATATTAAGTACAAGAACCGGAACCAATTCAACATATAAACATATAAAACATGCATATTTTCACATATACAATCGGTTCCTCGATTAATACGCATATACTTGGAAAGGAACCGGTAACAGGAAACGAAACATGCAAAAAATAACCGAAAACCGAAAAAATAATTTTTTTTTAATAACCGGCCCGAACCGGTTATTTTCGGTTCGGTCCGGTTCGATTCTCTGGTTTTCGAGTATAAAATTCCACCCCTATTGAAAATGAATTAGCTAATAATTTCTTATGCTCGTAATATGTGTTGTTTTAAGAAGTTGCACAATAATTATTTTTTTTTTGTCAATAATAATCATATTTAGTGAAAATTAATAATCATTAAGAGTGGATATGAAAAGTCGCAGTATATTTATTAGCTAAATAAGAGTAATAACGAAAAAACATGTACAAATAAAAATGTCATTTATTTGGTTAATGATTGATAAAACCAAAATGACATTTAAAAGAAATACGAAGGAGTAGTTTATAAGCGAACTTTTAATATTTGATAGCTTGTTTCAGAAGATAATCTACAAGTGAATTTTGAGCTTCTAGCTGCTGACTTAATGTTGTAAAACTATTTAATATAATAAAAATGTTTGATAAAATTAACAAATAAGTCAATAGAACAAACTTTGTAAAAAATGTTAATAAAAAACCATATGAGATAAGCTTTATTTTTATTTTTTTTTTTAATTTGTCCTCGTAAAACAAACTTACTTGAATATAGAAAACTTATAAGATAACTATAATCTATAAATTATAAGCTTATGCTATTTACCAAACATATTTTTATAGGTCATTTTTATCGGTGTGGACAATTCACATATCGGAAATTCGAGCGATCATATTAAGCACACACTGCGCATTTGATCTTACGGCTCATAGTACCTATACCGATATGGTTGAATTCTCCTAGTTTATCTATCCAAGTTAAACTTTACAAAACATCGACACAAAAGATAACTAGATGACTTGGTGCGGAGATGACGAGGTTTTGTAAAAAAAAAATACAGAATACTATAATATTGTGGATAATATTTTATGGAAATTGTGACAAATATGCAAAAATACGTTGCGACTAATCATAATATATATCAAATTTATATTACAAATAAGAATATCCAATATTGATGTTTACTATTATTTTTTTTATCAAAAAAAAAAAAAAGATGCAAAATTAAAATGTTCAACTTATTCACAACAATACACATGCTTGGCATCACAAAGTTCGGTATGTGCCAACTTTTACAGCTTTTATTCCCAAAAGAATAGTATATTCTTTCCCCTAAAATACGTCCAAGAATATCAAACTTTTCTTTTAATCTGAAAAACAGAATAAATGTTGCAAAAATTAAAAAATAAAAAACAGAATAAACCGAACATGCCTATTTTTTTTTTTCAAAAAATAAATAATGAAAGAAAATGAGGAAAAAAAAATTACTAGTTTTAGCTGAAAATAAATCAACAACCTTGTAAAGTATGCTTTTTTTTATTTTATTAACATGTTACAATAACATAAAGAATGACATAAAATTTAATGTAATAACTTTGTCAATATTTTGTTACTTTACGTATCACTTGACTTTAAAATCAATAATGATCAGTATAAATGTCCATTCCTCCCTATATGCTAATTCAAAATGTGTTGAGTTTAGGTGACAGATTCTCACACTTCGGATGTTGGCATGGCGAAAATCTATGTTTCGTGATGTTGTTTTTTATATTATTTTTACTCTGGAGTTAGTTTTGGAATTAGACATAAATAATTTTACACATATACTTATTAACTCAACAACTATGTTGTACATAAATATTAGTATTAAGGGCTGTAAACGAGCCGAGCCGAGCCGAGCTCGAGCTTAAGGTGTTCGAACTCGAGCTCGAGCTCTTAACGAGTCGAGCCGAGCTCGGCTCGTTAAGTAAACGAGCCAAAAATCAAGCTCGACCTCGGCTCGTTAAGGCCTCGAGCTCGAGCCTTAACGAGCCGATCTCGAACTTTAACGAGCCAAACTATAAAAAATTACATAAATTTCACTTTTCGAACCTTAACGAGCCTTATCGAGCCGAGCCGAGCTCGGCTCGTTAAGGCTTCAAACTTGAGCCGAACAGAGCCTTAACGAGCCGAGCTCGAGTCGAGCCGAGCCAGACTCGTTTAATTTAACAGTACTAGTAAAATAACGTGCTGTCATGACACGTGGATTTAGAACTCCGTAGTCTCCATGACCACTGTTCTTTTCTTGCATGAACAATTTTTGTGTTGTGCCTAGGGCTGCAAACGAGTCGAGCAGCTCGCGAGCCGCTCGCGAGCGCTCGAGTTAAAGCTCGACTCGAACTCGAGTTTGACCGCTCTCGAGTCGAGCTCGAGCGGCTCGAGCACGAACTCGAGTCGAGCTCGAACCCATATATAGCATTGTCGAGCGGCTCGCGAGCGGATCGAGATATGTTAAATTACTAAAATACCCTTGTATATATATGTAATTAATGGTTATTTTACAAAAATTTTTGAAAAAATTCGAGCCGAGCTCGAGCATTATGAATTCGAGTCGAGCTCGAGCTCTTGTATGTTTTGATCGAGCCGAGCTCGAGCACCAAAAATCGAGTTCGACGAGCTCGAGCTCGAGCACCTCAAAAAAATTCAATCCGCTCGATAAGGCCAATGCTCGACATGGCTTGGCTCGTTTGCAGGCCTAGTTGTGCCCATTCATTATCTTCCATCTTAACTGTAATAAATAATTATATCCACACCTTTTACAGAAGATCCAAATGAGAAAAGAAAAAAAAAAAAGTTGAAATAGACATTAGGACGTGTTTGGATACAAAAGTCACTCAAAATAGTTTTTTTTTTTTTTAGTTATACAAATGTATTGTTTGGTAATCACCGGTTAGCTGTTATCACATTATATATATATATCAGTTGATTTGACCAGCACAATGTATTGACTATTTTGACCGTCGCATTACATTAGTGAATTGTGTTAAAGCGTTTGATAAACTTAGTTTATTGATTTCAATAAATTGAATAAAATAACTAACGTGAGTAAAGTAATTACTCTAATGTAATAATAATAATAGTTTATTAAAAATGTATATTAAGAATTATAAAGAACTTAATTTTGTGTATATGTATATATATATATATATTCATATATATTTCCTCATTGTATAATCATATACATAACTATATATTATAAATTAGATGTGTTTATTTTTTCGGGGGTAAAATTATTTGTTTTCTAGTAGTTGGTCGCGTAAAAAAATCATTGTATTATTATATTTCAAGTTTTTAGTTTTGTATTAAAATTATTTATTATAAAAAAATAATAATTCAATTTTTTTTTTTATATATATAAAAAAATATAGCTCAAGATACCTTAGACATATTTTCTTGTACCAGCAAATGATTTATATGTGTATTTATATAGTGTACTTCGTTTTGATTTTTGGCGTTTCACCTCAATTTGTTCATTTCAAACGGTGTTTACCAAACACCAGTAAATGACCAATTTAGCGTTTTGAATTTTGGTCAAACCCGCTAATGCAACATTTTACTAAAAACGCTGAAAAACAAACAAAGCCAAAGTAAATTTTTTAAAAAAAAAGTGGTATAATAAATTTCAAATTTAAATTTTGGTAAACATAATTTTAGTTAATCATTGAAGCATATTCACTCTATTCACATAACAAAATCTTCTTACATAAATCACAGTCAAACAACTTCCCAACTTTCATTCACAATTCCATTTCATTATTATGGTAATAAAATGATGAAAATCACTTTTTACTGTGGATAAAAATAATTTATTGTATTGTTGTACCCCTCTGTTTTTTCCTTAACTATTGCTGTACAAAACGAATAAAACCGCGTTCTATTTTTCTTTTCACTGTAACATATTTACCCCTTTTTTTCCCCTTTCATTCAAAACCGCGTTAATATATACTCGCTTCATTTACCCAAATATGAGCTTTAATTTTCCTTCTCTCTAAAGTTTCTCTCTCTACCTCTCTGCAAAATGCACCTCCAACAGTACAATCTCTCTCTCTAAAACCACATTACATCTAAACCCACATAGCAAGATTTCATTTTTTTCCCCCCCAAGAACCATCAAGAATGGTTCTTTCAAGATACTCGCCGGCGGCCCTCCCGGCCGCCGCCGGAATCCTCCTGCTCATCCTCCACATCAGCCCGCCGCTGTCCTGCCGCGCGATCCGTTCCTTCCCGGAGAACGGCGCTTCCTCCGCCGCCCGTTTCGGTTTCTCTGAGGCGCCGGAGTACCGCAACGGCGCCGGCTGCCTGGCTGCCGGCGGCGGCGCCACCGCCGCTCCGTGCGACCCGTCTCTTGTCCACGTGGCGATGACCCTCGACTCGGAGTACCTCCGCGGATCGGTGGCGGCGGTCCACTCCGTCCTCCGCCACGCGTCCTGCCCGGAGCAGGTCTTCTTCCACTTCGTGGCGGCTGAGTTCGACCCGTCAACCCCCCGGGTCCTGACCCGGGTCATCCGCTCCGTTTTCCCCTCGCTCAACTTCAAGGTGTACATATTCCGCGAGGAAACGGTCCTCAACCGGATCTCCTCCTCGATCCGACCCGCATTGGAGAACCCGCTAAACTAC